GCCCACATGGCTCTGGCCCAGCCTCACCCTCGCATGGTAAACTTGACCACGGCGAGTCTGGAGCCCGCGCCGCTAAGCTCCGGCTGGAAATCCGGGTCGCTCCCGACTGGCTTCACTCCCACCATTCTCAGAAAGCCCGGAAGGGCGGCCGCGACGCCACCGGCCTCGAAGCTGAAAGAGAAGACCGGGAGAAGAAGGGGGAAGGTTCTGGAAGGCCGAGGCCTGAACGGAGGCGGTAGCGATCGCGGAGGCTTCTCCCGGGGCGCTCAGTGCCGAGTCACGCCAGGGAGCGGAGAGGCCGAGGGGGCGGGGACGGGAGGGGGGAAGGGAGAGGCGAGGGAGGGGGCGCTGTGAAGCTCCCAGCAGCCACCGCGCATCCGCGCCGCCTGCGCATGCGCACCTTTGCGTCATTTCCGCGCAGTCGGTTTTGGCTCCCTCCGCCCAATCCTAAAACGCGAACCGTGGTCCCACAGTCAACCGAGGAGCCGCGCGCCAGCGGAGCCGCGCAGGCGCAAACGAGTAGCGGTCACATACTCGGGTGCGAGTGCGACTGAAATGTTCGTGTATTCCTCCGCCGTTGTGAGATATACGGGGCTTTTACCTCAGGAGTTTCTTGTGGTGGGGAAGTGAAAAGAGAACCCCAATTTCTCCAGGGTTCGTGGCTATTGCCGCACGTCTTAAGGTCCCTTTGGAAGTGCCTTGAGGACAGTCTTGTCTCATATTTGGGACAAGTCACTGCACTAGACAAAATAGACTTTAGGAACAATTATTTACCCATCTCATAGTACATGGGCACTCTCTGTGCAGTCATCCAGAAAATACTATGCACGTCTTTAAGTCGTGTCAAAAAAATATGAAAACACCATCCCTCCTTTAGGGACTCACAGTCTAGTGACAGACGCAAAGTTATAGTAACAAAAGTTTACAAAAGAAACGGTGGAGACAAATGAAATAGGAAGTTGGGGCAAGGTAAACTTGCTAGATGTGACCAGGAACAATCTTGATGAAGAAGAAAGGGATAGCCAGATGGTGAGAGATGACGAGTATTCCAGGCAGAGGAAGCAGCCGTGCAAATGCATGGGTTGAGAGGGCTAATAATAATCATATTTAACAAATAGATTAAGATGCAAACTCATGTGTATCAGCTCATTTAATCCTCACAACAATCCTGTGAAGTAGGTTCTATTATTATTTCATATTTAGATTAATGTTCCCAAGTTCACACACCTAGTAAGAACTCAATCTTGCTTTCAAGTTAAGGCAGTCTAACACCAGCATGCTCTTTTAAATATTAGGCTAGATGACAAAATGATTTGCTTTTGGATGCAGCTGGAGAGATGAAACTGAAGAGGAAGGTTGAAGTCAGATCATGAATAGCTAAGAAATTCGTATTTTAACATGAAAGCAATGGAGTAATTGCTGCAGGGCAATTTTGTGATTACAAGTGTCTTTAGAAAAATGCCCTAAGGTATCAGGAGAATGGAAGGTAGTGAGAACAGTTTAGGAGGTAACTGTGGTAATCCATGAACTGAGTTATGGGAGCAGCTGCAATGGAAATGAAGAGGAAATAATACAAATGAGAAACAGTTAGAAGATTAAAAACCAAAGGGTTTGGGGAACAATTGGACCAATTTAATGAGATGACAGAGAAAGGAGTCTACAATAACAAATATCGCAATCTTGTGCCTCTTTTGACCTAGTTAAGATGCCTGTAGGACATCCAGGTGAGGTGTACAGTAGATGGTAGGAAGGATAAATCAGAAACTAAAGAAAAAGTAGGTTACAGTCACAAATTTGATAGTCGTTAGTTTGGATGATAATTGAGGCCCAAGAAATGTGAAAATAGAAGGCTAAGTGTGTTGCTGAAACATAAAATAATTATTCCTAACTAAACTCAGCTAGAGCAGAGCCACAGTAATTATGTTCCTTTTTCATGTGATACCTGCACAATATTATACCCTTAGAGCCAAATAAGACAGAAGTTCCAATAATCTCTGCTACTTATTATTCTGTGCCCTTGAACAAGTCACTAACCTTTCTGAACATCAGCTTTCTTGTCTTTGAGAACTGGTTTAATCATACATACTTTCTAGGATTATGAGGGTTATGTACAATAGTAAATAATGTATATAAAGAACTAGAAAATAAGATGTTCAATGAAAAATGTTTAGAAGCAATGGCATATTACTCAGCAAGGGCTGCCATAACAAAATATCACAGACTGGGTGGCTAAAACAACAGAAATTTAATTCCTACAAAGCCAGAGGTTGGAATTCCAAGATCGAGGTGCCTACCAGAGTTAGTTTCAACTGAGCCTTCTCTTCTTGGTTTATATATAGCTACATTTTCACTGGGTTCTCACATGGATGCTTCTCTGCATGTGCATGCACACGCACGCACACACACACACTAGTCTTTGTGTCTCTTCCTCTTAAAAGGACACCAAGTCCTATTGGATTAGGGCCCTACCCTTAGAGCCTCATTTAATCTTAATTATATCCTTAAGGGCCTTATCTCCAAATACAGTCACATTGAGAATTAGGGCCTCAACCTATGAGTTTTGGGGGCACACGATTCAGTACATAACAGGTGGCTTATTATTATTCCCAATGGTCCTCCCAATTTTTCCTAATAAGCAAAAAAGAATCTCAATTAAGGAAGCTATAGTAAATATTTAGGAGGAGAAGGGAAGACTTTAGAATTCTACAGATTCCTTAGAGGAAAGAGGAAAAGAGGCACTGTAAAAGTTAGACGTGTTAGGGGCATTTTGCTGTTTGTTTATCACATTTTTCTCCACATCCACTCTCAACCTTTCTTCACTCTGCTCTTAGTTCCAGAAAGCTGACCTGAAGGATTAGATCAATAGGATCCCTTGTTGGAGCTTTTTGTTGGAGACCGAAGAGTGAAAGAGAGTGAGATCCAGTTACTAATCCTCCCAGTTCCCATCCTGCTATGCTGCCACAGGTTAATTGTGTCATGATCAAAGGGCATAGCTCCTGTCAGGAAGTTTTTCATATCATTACCCTTTTTGAGTTCCTAACCACTCTCTTCCATTGTTCCTTCAAGCCTGGGATTAAGAGTCAGTCCTGGCTGTTGGTAGCACGATTCACATAATCGGCAGAGACGCTGGCCACCAAAACCCCAAGTCTAGGATCGCCCAGAGGAAGCAGAGGTACCTGGAAGCCATAATTCTTAGATGGGCTTCCCATGCTTTTTGGCAGGAACCACCTCCTGCCACCTAGAAAGCTCTTAACTAGTAAACTTAGATATTATGAGCTAATGAGCAACACTCAGATTTCACTTTCCTAATACAAATAGAGGTCTCTGGTTTGAAAAGAACTACCATCTTTCTTCTTCCCTACTCTTACCCCGCCAAAGCCTAGTGGTGTGGTGACCCAGTCACCCTCTTTCCAGTAAAACTTATCTACTCACCACTCAATTCTTGATGTCTTTATTTCTATTTTCTCCTTAAGAACACCATCCTTTTTTGATTCTCCTAACCCTGTCAACAGGTGTGCTAGCATACTTCCCTTACTAAATTCTACTCAATTGCCATCTTTTTCCTGTCGTGCCCCGACTAATATAAAAATCGAAAACCGATTAAACACCAGGGAATTTGGAGATTAATATAGCAAGCTGCAGATAAATATTTGAGAGTTGCCAGCATAGAGGTCACAGTCGATACCATTAAACACGAGTGCATCAGGAAATGTACAGGAAAGCACAGGGTTGCAATAGAAATTGAAGGACAACCACAAATAGGAGTAAAATGAGAAAGAAGAGTTCACAAAAAAAGCAGAAAAATAGGAATAAAATCACAAAAGTCTTCAAGGGTCAAAGACCAAAAGGATGAGAACTGAAGAACGCCTTTAAATGTAGCAGGGGGTTCACTGGTTATCCAAAGAACCAGTGCAATTCAGTGAATAAAGATTGGAATCAGCTCGAGGGCAGTCATAGCAAATTCTCCAGGGCCTATCTTGTGTCAGGCACTGTGATAAATCCTCAGCAGATAAACATGATTCCTACGTATTCCATGATTCTCACACAATCTAGAAATGCAGGCCGGGGGCAGTCATTGTCCCTGTGGTACTGATGACGAGGCTGACTTCCAGAGAAGTGTGTAACTCATTCAGTTAACGCAGCTGCTTAGCCCTGAGGTTGCACTCAACATTACATAGAAACAGACTTTATACATGTGCACGGAAATTTTTAGTAGACGTTATTGCAAGGTGATGATGCTTTTTGGGTTATTTTGTCCTTATCTGTATTTCTAACATTTTTTTCAGTAATTATAAATAGTATACATAATAACAACAAATAAAGAAGGCATAGCTGGAAAAAAAAGTCCTACATAAGAATTCTACCAAGAAATTCCAGTGTTCTTCCTTGCCCTATTAGTAATAACTAAGAAATAATACAGTTAATTGGTCTCCTTGTGTCATTCAGCTAATGCTTAATTTCGTTAAGTAAAATAAGCTTTTGGTGGATGGAATTTTCCCAAAAGATGTTATTATTTTTTTTTCTAAATTTGTATATGCCACCCCGAAAACCTCATTTCCTGGAGTTTCCATGAAAATTTTAGGAAAAATTTACAGACCCTAATACCTCTGCATGGATGGCTTGTTATTCTTAAGGGGATGGTACACTCTCTCCTTTCTGGGATTAATGTAGTCAGAAATGCCAAATTGCTGCCATAAACTGCTCCCATCCCATCATTTGGCCATGGCAGGCATTGCTATTAGCTGCCATGGTTTCCTAGAGTCTATCTAGAGGCAGCCTCAGAATTCCATTCAGCAGCACCCAGTACCAGAATCAGCACTCAAAAGAACCTATTTTCCATCCCACAGCTTCCTATAACTATCATACCTTAAATTCGTGGTTCTCAAACTGTAGTGAGTTCATTAAAATGTGGGTTCTGTTTCGCACCCAGAGATTTTGATTCAATAGAGCTAGAGCATGGTCCAGAAATCTGAATTTTAACAAGCACCCAGGGTAACCTATGCAAGGGGTCCATATTTTGAGAAACATTATTTGACGATAACTTGCTTACCATTATGTACATTTACTATGCACTTAATATGTACAAGATATTGTGATAATGCTTTGAAATGCCTGTCCTCCAGGGATATCAAAAAGAAGAGAAGATACTTCTACAAAAGCTAATAATATGAGTTAAACAGTGGTAAGTGCCGTAGCAGAAATATAGATAGCATATCATAATGGGTCAGAAAACGGAGAGAGAATTTCCAGCTGGAATGAGCAGAGAATGCTGCATGAAGGAACATATTCGAATAATCAGGCCTAGATAAATATAGAAAGGAAATGTA